GTTCTCAGTATGAACTTAATCTCCATCAAATACATTTTCCTTTTCAGAGTCTTGCTGTTGTCCAGACATGAAGGGGAGGTGTTTGACTTACACAGAGTGAAGGGCCTGAACCTGATTTAACCAGAGAATTAGAATCAGCAAAGCCCAATGCCTGTAAGCAATGCTAGTCTAATTTATTTGCCATAGTGTATTGCATGGGCTTCACTGCAATTTCGTCTTTTCTAACCCATTTTTAGCACAACCCCTGAAACAATCATGTGTAGAAGATTTAAGAAAATTTCATGCAGGCAAGGCAATGAGTATCTTGCTTTCTCATAACATCTTGGAAATCTCAAAAGTCCCTTCCTCAAATGGCTTTTCTCCTCTTTTGGACAAATAAGTCTTCTGCTTGTTCTGAATAAAAAATTCAGAATATTGTAATAAGTTGTCAAGACGATAGTCTTGCAGGGCTGGGAGCAAAAGAGCCAGGACTCACAGGGCTTTTGGGACAGGAAAAGTCTGGATATGTTAAATCCCCAAATAAATCCCTAAATGTGTCTGCCCCCTAGATCATCTGTCCTTTCCCCATGTCATGTTGAGTAAGTTTTATTCTTCACAGGTGGAGAAAAGTCAGGATGACTCTGTGTAATGAATCCTCTATTTTGATCCAAAATGGAATGGGCTTCTCAGTACATATGGTTGTAGGTATTTCCTGGCTGAGCAGGTTTGTGTGTGGGCTGGTTACAGCAGTGTCTCTCGCTGCATTTGTCCTTGTGCTAAATGCAGGATGCTTGCTTTCCAGCATCTCCTCCACAGTTACTGCTCCTGTTGCTCCTCATGTGTGAAGCTCTTTGTTCCCGGCCAGACTAGATGAGGGAGAGCATACAGGGGATGCCAAGATGTGGAAACAGGCATATGTGAAAGATCTTTCACTGCTCCTTTTGCTAGGGTGCTGCTGAGATGGTGAACAAGAGTCAGGATTACCAGAACAGGAGATGGAAGCTGGTGTCCTCACGTGAGGTTACTGCTGCCCTTGTACAGCTGCTAATGGCAGCATTTCCAGAGCCAGAACACGCCTCCCCCGCCCTCAGCATCTGCATTCTGCCTCCAGCAGTACATCAGGTGGTTTTAGAAGAAAATGCAAGCACTTTGCTCTGGTAATCTCATACGGCTGCTCTCTGTTGTAGCAGTGCTCTGTGTCAGCTCATAGACCACCCCACTGTCCCAGCAGTGGCTTTGCTCAGCAGCTGCAGACCCTGCCATAGCTTGTGACAATGCCACCAAGCGTGTTCAGCGCCTGTGCTGCGATCCTGGGGTGCTTCTGTCGTGCTGTGCTGATATAAAATTGTGGCAAACCGTTGTTTCCTGAACTGAGAGCCGGGGCATTCCTAACTCCTGGGCAGCTGCGTGGCTCCCGTGCTGCGGAGCAGAGTGGGCTGGGCAGGGAGCAGCGGGCAGCAGAGGAGCTGCTCGCACACGCTGTCCTCTCACAACACCAGCGTGGGCCCGTGCGGCAGGACCCACGGACACCCCAGTCAGTCCCAGAGGAAGCACAGTATCGACCAAAGGTGATAAGTGCTCAGTGAAACCCAATGACGTGCTAAAGATTTTATCATCAACACACTTTTAGGTTTTAGGCTGACTTTTTGTAATATATGGGCTGCTGCAAAATTGGTGCATTTATATTGTAATAAATTCAGAGTATCCTCAGTCTGGCTGATGGAACTGCATCTCTTGACCCTGAATAGTTTGTAACTACTTGACCCTAGTAGTTTGTAACTAATTTTAACAATATTTCCATTATCTTTAGGGATAAATACAGAATCAAAAGGGCAATCTTTAAGGAATGTTTGCAAGATTGGATATAGGGATATGACTTAAGTGGAAAGCAAGCTATTTCTTTGTTTGATATTTCAAACATTGTGCTTTCATTTATTCTACACCTTTTTTCCATCTCTTTCTTACAAGGCATTTCCAGCTTCCTGTTCCACTGTCACTCATCTGTTTCTTTCCCTTCTGCTTTCTTTCGTCTCAGCTTCCACTGAGTTTGTGGAAACTCTGTTTGGGCTTTTCTTTGGTTTTGTTTTGGGGTTTGGTTTTTTTTTTTTTTTTTTTTTTTTTTTTTTTTTTTTTTTGTTTGTTTGTTTGTTTTTAATCTCGTTGATGTCTTCAGGCTTATTCTGCAAGGGTCAGTGAGCAGCTTTGGGCTCCCTTTTCCAGGTCTGTCCTTAGCAACCACAGGCCTGTTGGCAGAGAAGGAAAGCTTGCCTGGTGTGCTATGGAATGGAAAGCATAGGAGCTTCCCTGCTCTTACATCCAGCTCTGCAGCCCAGCTGTCCTATCTTAGGGTTTCAGATTAAGCAAAAAGTATCTTGTTTTGACTCCCTGCCGTGTTTTATGAAATCAAAAGTACTGCCACAAACCTGATGCAACTTGTTTGTTTATTACACAGGTGTGAATGACCAGAGCATGTAGATGATAATTATCAGGTATGAGATTTTAAACCCATATTTGTTAGGTAAATCATAACAGTAGCTAATTCTTTTCCAGAATAAATCCCAGTTTCTCTACACAGCAATGTCAAAAGACAGATTGGGAAGAGGGGCAAGCAGGATGGGACAGTGCTCAGCCTGATGGGTGCCAATGATGTGTGAGTGTGGTGAGGCTCCTTGTGTGTTTTGAGTGGGATTCATTTAAAAGGAAACAAATGTGTGAAGAGGGGAAGGAGAATGCTGAAGGAAGGACTGAAGCCGAGGGAAAGGTTAAGGGAAGGGCATGAGAGATGGAGGAGAGCAGTGAATTTGAGGTGGAAGGGCTGAGAGAAGGAAGAAGTTGGAGGGAAGGCCAGTCAGCACAGGGCAAGGGAAGTCCTGCCAGAGCACTGCCCCACCAGGCTGGCATGGCTTCGTGCCCCAGCCAAAGCTCTGCTAAATCCCTTTGTGCTTCTTCCCTGATTTTACTTGGTGGTGATGCAACCCAGTTAGTGACATCACATAAATACACCTACAAGTGGTGTTGCAGAGTCTAGATTGTGACCGGCAGATTAGTCAGCGGTGTCACAATCCGGTGTTTATATCATTGTCTCCTGAATGTGGAAGCGATTGCTATGGTGATAACCAAGTTTTCATCAGTGGATCAGGCTGTTAAGAAAAGGCATCCCTTTTGTAGAGACAAACAGCTTTGAGTTATTTGGAATAAAATCATGGTAAACTCCAGTTAAGTAGAAACATCAAGTGTGGCACATCACTAAGGTTTTAGCAGTTGGGATGCAATATAAACATGTGACTGAACTCCAGCACGTTCTGCATCTGGGTCACCTATGGCTACAGGGCAGTGTGATATTTTATTGTTAATGAAAAGTGTGCCCCTGTGCCAAAAAGCAGCCATTGCGTCTGCACATCCCAGAATTCTATGAACAGAAGCAGGAAGCATGAGGAGTGAATGGCACCCGAGAAAGTCAGCAGTCCTTCCCAGTACTTGCCATTTTGAACTGGTTTTGTAATTTGTATCGGAAACAAAGCAAGTTATACTTGTTTGGAAAAATGTAACTTTCCAACCTCTTAATCAGATGACAGTATTTTTTTCATATGTGAGATCAGATAAGAAATTTCTTCTATGTAATCTTGAATTAGATTTTAAAGATGGGTTCAAAATATAGAACACTTTTTATTGCATGTCATAAAGAACAATTTACATCAGTTCATTTCACTTTGTAGAGCAAGATCCTACTTCAGTATTGGTATTTATCTTTTGCTATCCTAATGGCAGTGTTTGCAGATCCAAACAAAGCATTTTGTTTTTAGAACACTAACTGTAATCCAGTCAGAGGATATTAAGCAACTTCCAGGATTAGACCCTTAGTTAAAGTTTGTCTTCAGTTTCATATTTCCTTTGATTGGCTGGTTGAATTGTTCTTCTATAATTTTGCATTGGAGTATATCCTGTACAAATAGGGAAGAGATTTTGACCTAGAAGGAGAGACCTCTTATTAGTGAGCATACTTTTAAATTACAGTAGCTATCTGAAGCATCTTGACATATGATAGATAGCGCTGTTGCTATATGGGTTTGATTGAACTTGTTACTTAGACAAGCAACCTCCCACCCCTATTTCTCAAGGAGAAACTCAAGATCTTTCTGATTTAACTTCATGCATGCCAGTTTGGATAAATCTGCTGTTTGATGCTGCTGTTGGTGTTACACTGGAGCATTTTGATGCAGTTTCAGCACTGACCACATTGCAAGTGTCCCTTGCTCCCCAAACCCGGCTTCATCTGAGCGGCAATGAATAACACATGGATCTGCTGCCCTTTAGCAGCTGGTGCAGTGCTTGTGCAAATTCACAGCATCAATTAGGTTGGAAAAGATATCTGAGATCATCGAGTGCAAGCTATGAGCAAACACCATCCTGTCAGCTAGGCCAGAGCACTGAGTGCCACATCCTGTCTTGCCTTAAAAACCGCCAGGACAAGGAGGCCACCACCTCCCGGGGCAGCCCATTTCAATGTCTAATCGCTCTTTCTGCAAAGAAATTCCTCCTAATATCCAACGTAAACCTTTCGTGGCACAGCTTAAGACTATAGTAAAGACAATTCATATGATTGTGGCGAGTTTAAATTTTCCTAAAAGTGGGTGTAGTACATGAGAAAGAAATAAAGTTACATGGGAGAGGAGAGAGGGAGAAGGAAATCCCATTTTTAGCGCGGGAAGGATTCCAGGGTGCTCCCGGCCTCTCCTGTCCCCTCACTCGCTCACGGCCCTGTCCCGCCGCCGCCCCGGCCCGCGGAGCCCTCACACCGCCGGCCCCGCCCCCGAGCGCACCCGACCAATGGGGGCGCGGCGGCCCCGCCCCTCGAGCCGCGGCAGCCAATGGGAGACGCGGCGCGGCGCGCGTCCACCTGCGGCTGCGGGAGCACCTGAGCGGGCGAGAGGAGCCGACAAAACCCGTCGGAGCGGCGGGTGCGCGGCGCTGCTCCTCCCGACCCGCCCGGCCAGTCCTGCCGCCCGCTGCCTCCGCCAGACATGACACAGGACTACGACAAGTGAGTGAGCCGGGCGGGGGAAGAAGTACCGCGTCCGGTCCGACCGGTGCTGCCGCCCCGCCGGGGGGCTGCGGCGAGAGGGGCTCGCCGCCCGGGGGCCGGGCCGGAGAAGCCGCTCTCGCGGGGTCCGCCCCCCTCGCTCCTCTCTCTCGGAGGAGCACCCGGAGGTGCGGCGGGGCGGTGCGAACGGCGGGGGGAGCGGGGGCTGAGCCCTGAGGGGGAGCCGGCGGCGCAGCGGGGCGACCCCGGGGGCCACTCCGCCTCACGGGGCGAGCGCCGGGGCTGGGCCGGCTTTGAAACCCGACACCCGCAGCGAGGCGTGGGGCCGCCCCCCGCCCCGCCGGGCCGCGCCTTAAATGCGGGCGGCGGCGGCCGCGCCGTCGGGAGGAGCTGCCGGGCCGAGGGAGCCGGGCTGAGCCCCCGCGCCGCTGCCCGGCGGCCGCAGCGGCTCCCATGGATTTCTACGAGGCGCATCCCTCGGGCAAGGTGGACTTCGGCAGGTAAGGGCGGCTCCCGGAGAGCTCGGCTGCGACGACCCCGGAGTAGCCGACGTTGGGTCGTGAAAGAGTTAAACTGAGCTCGAGGTGTGTGTATTCTGTAACTTCGTGGTGTTGAATACGAGACGTCGCCTTCAAGCGGATCCCAGGCTGTGTTGAAGGACTCGGGTCTCTTGTCACCGTGGCCATCTGCTGACAGTGGCCGTGGACACCCAAGTGCCAGAAAATGGGGTAGCTCTGAAGTGATTTGCTTTCAAGAACCGATTTTAAAATTTCTGTACTTTGAATGGTTGGTGACTCAAATGCACTTCTTTCCTAGGGAATGTGTAAGATTTTAAACTCAACTTTTTGTTTCAACATGCTACTTTCTAGGAAAAGGACTCCAGTGCGGCAGCTCACTAACTCATGTCTCTGACTCGGATTTTTCATAGGTGTTTTTATTTCCAGTGACACTTAGTAGATGAGCTCGTAGCGATTTGGGTAGATGCACTTTGCTTTTGTGGCACGCAGATGCCGGTGACAGGAATGCTCGGTGCTGCCTCAGCGTTAGAGGTGTGCTCTGTGCAGAGCAGGCACAGCGTGGCTCTGGGCAGTGTCACAGGGTGAGGGACGGGACGGCTGCTCCTGGATCAGAGAAGGGAGGAGGAATAGTTTCTGTGGTCTGAACACAGAACATCGTAGGCTGGGGAAGCCTTGCAGGCAGAGTCTCTGCTTTTTGTAGTATTTCTCTGCTTCCACTGTGGTCAAGTGGAAAGTAAAATTGGGGAATTATTAGAATTGTGCTATGAAGCTCAATTTTCTGCCTCTGCTGGACTTCTACTACTGTATGAGTAGATCAGCATGCCAGTTATCTTCTAAAACTTAGGAAAAAAAGATGTGTTTGCCTTCTCTTATCAACGTGTTCTCATTTTCCTGAAAGAAGCTGTGGTTCTCCTGAAGTAGGGAGTTCCTGCCAAATGCTGTACTTTTCTTGATAATTCTGCAGATAACTTTTTCTGTGCCTTTTTTAGGTGGGTGGTTACCTTTAGGGCCGTGTTCATTGAATTTCAGTGTTTCAATGACAAATGACACAAAGATATGTAGGTCTTGCATTCGCTAGGCTTTTAGTTAGTTGAGGCTTTTGTTCTCAGTATTTTTGGTTTTCTGATGGTTTTCCCTTCCATGTGTTGCTGGAGGGAATCAGCGTAGTGGTCTTGTGAGTTCAGCAAGGCTGACTTAGCCCTTCTGCTTGGGGATGGATCAAGGGAACTGCACCCAGCTTACTTCAGTTGCCTTTTCCTCTGTGAGTTTTCCCATTTGCTATGGATATTTGAGGATTCCTTTATCATATTGTAAGAACAGGAGTTTGTACCATATCCCTAAAGAAAATTCTGCTTTGTCTCCTGTGGGTCGTCTCAGTTTGATGGAAGGTAGCTGTCCTCTGCGTTCGGGTGTCTGTGTCAGTGCGTACACAAGTACCTATGGAGACCTGAAGAAAGGGCTTGGTGCAAGAACTTGTCTCTTTTGTCATTTTTGTTTGCTCTTCTTTCAACTACATAATACTGATTTATAGCCACAAAGTGCTCTTACAAGTCCTGGGAACTCCCACTTGCTTTCAGTGCCTTCAGCTCAGCCAAGCTGTCCGAGGGCAGCTCGGCAGGGTGACTTGTGTAACTGATAAAGCGTCGAATGCTTAATTTGCTTTGCAATCTTTTTGGTAGAAGGTGGTGATAAATGTAGGATACTGCTAAGCTGATTATAGTGATTAGAGTATTTCACAACTTTCTATTTCACAACTTTTTGTATTTGTAGTATATTTCAGTCTCTGAATGTATCTGGGGAAATAGATGAAAAGAAGGATTCCCTGCTAGGAAAAGGATGTGAAGGTGTTGGGGTTTTGGGGTTTTTTTTTTTTTTTGTGGAGTTAGTTGTTTTTAAAGAATTACTTTTCTATTTTAACTATGGCCAATTCACTAAAAATGTTAAGTTTGGGATTATTGAGGAAAGTAAAAAAGCCTCCCCTTCTCCCCCAGCCCATCTGCAGTAAACTAATGTTAAACTTGCGCTGTAAAGAGAACTGAACTGGTTTAAAAGTCAGATTTAAAAATTAGCTTGAGCTGACTTAAAAGAGGAAGCATATGTTTTACCAATAGAACCAAAAAAATATTGTCTAGGCTGGCAGGACAACATTTGCTACACATCTTGCTTTTGTCTGTGGACAGAATGTCCAAGTCATTTTGGAGTTTGTTGGTTCCCAGCAATCTCCAAATGTTCAGAGTAAATGTGTATATATATAGTGTAGTACAAAGGGAGTACTCATCTTTTTCTTTTTTTCTTCACTCGTCTGAGTGTGTTTCAAACTAGTGTGCTGGATTATTTCAATAGTAACCAGGCAGTAAGTTGGTTTTTTTTCTTCCCTTGTCAGAAAAAAACACTGCCAAATTGATTTGAACTCCCCTTTACCAATTTCCTATGTCATCTGTAACTTACCAGTAGCTTCTGCGTGGTGTTTTTAGATCTATTCTGAGAGCGAAGACACTTGAAAGCACTGGAGAAAAGAGATGTTTCGTTAATGCACATTTTCCACATGGGAACTGGATCAGGCTGTAGCCTGGCAGTTTTACATGAGATGTGCTGGAGGCTTTGTAGGTGGTTGGCCAGAAAGTGTGTAGCTCTTTCTGGGTTGGATTCAGAGCATGAGCAGGTCAGTTGTGCTCTTACATGGCTTTGTCTTTTTGTAGAGGCTGGTGTAATCCATCTGAGTTTGGTCAAATTAATCCTGATTTACATTGAGCGTGAGTGAGATCAGAATTAAGTTTCTGGGCTTTTTGTGTTGACTAATCCTTGCAGTACACTGAATCAGCATATGAACCTCATGAAACTGGGGCAGCTAATTTTGAAGAACTTTTGGAATGTTTCTCATGTGTTCTAACAGGTGGCTTTTTTTTATTTCTTCTTTTTTATGATTCAAGTAAAAGACCCGTGTTGGTTCTTCAGAATGACTCTCTCTACTCTCAGAGACGTCCTTACACCAATGAAGATGAGGCCTGGAAAACTTTTCTTGAAAATCCCCTCACAGCAGCTACCAAAGCTATGATGAGCATCAATGGGGATGAAGACAGTGCAGCTGCCCTCGGACTGCTCTATGATTACTACAAGGTAGATTGGCCTGGGTTGGCTCTGGTAGCCAGCAGAGCTCGTGTTCCACCTGTGGAAAAGGTGTCATTTGCTAGAGGATTTTACAGAAGCTGTGAACAGATCACAAGGACTTTAAACAGTGTTGGTTTTAAATTGAAAGCACTCTATATCTCTCTTTCTGAAAATTTGTTTTCTTTTTAGCTCTGTAAAATAAGATCTCCTAGAACTTGATGTAAAAGTTAGGTAGCACTTTGCTAGTTTTCCACTTGAGTAGCACTTTTTCTGTTGACCCCAGGTTCTGCAAGGGGCAATGTGTTATAGAAATAGTCATAAAGAGTGATGCTTTAGGACCATATCCCTGTCCGAATATAAATATACATGGAGAAAGAAACTCCTTTTGCTCACATGATCCCTATTCTGCTGGATCTCTGACTTTTGCTGGGGCTTTGTTGTGTTACTTTAGGCTCAGCTGATACTAAGATACAATTACAGGTTTTTGGTGGTATGTGGGGCTGAAGTGTGCACCTGAAAGAGTTGCTGCCTGCATCCCTCTAACCCTCAGTGATCATCAGCTGCTGTAATCTGTTAATCCTTTGATAGCAGTGATTGTCTTCCCCAGTGTTCGTGGTCTCGGAGACCTGTGCCTTCCTAGGTGCTTGGAGCTGAACTGAGCAGTCAGAGAACATTCTGGTCTGCATGGGGTGCATTTTGCTGAGCTTTGTTTCCCGAATACAGCAAGTATAAGCTAGGGTAGTTATCTCCAGCCAGGTCAGTGGAGAGCAGCAGGCGTTTCCAGGCAGGGAGGGGTCCTGCTTGTGTTGAGACGCCTGTGTTACGGTGGCCTGGCTCACCGGGTGGAGGTGCCTGTTTTTTCTTTGCTGAGCATGCAGGAAGGCCAGGAGGCTGACTTGGCTTTCCTGCCTGGCACTTTGGCTTGTGTCTTTTAACAATAGTGAGTGCAGTTGCCAGCCTCAGTTATGTACTTCAAGCAGTAGGAGTGATTGCCTGGTGCAGACAAAATCCTTGCCTGCTCTTTTAAGTGTTGAATACGTCTTACATACTGAAATATTCTTGTAATGCTTAATATGGAGATTAACACTCCACACACACATGACAAAATGCCACAGACTCACTGATGTGGATGTTATTCAACTAGTTTTGTGAGAAAACTGCCTTTCTGCTTTGTGTTTGTGCTTAGTATGCTTTTGGGAAAAAAAACCAAAAACTAAACAACAACATGCTTTCACCAGAACAATTTTAATCCACAAGATCAATTTTGATTTCTAAACCTGTAGATTACAAAAAGAATGTTGATGTTGATCCTTCATGCTCGGCAAAGCAGAAGGGATTTGCTGTACATTAATGCCTAATTCAGGGTTTCCTCTTATGTTTGGGTATCAGTGGGTGTACAGAAAAAATTGGTGGAAGAGCAGGTATGCTGCACACTTAGGTAAAGCAGAATGGCTGGAGGTTGAAAGATTTATTGGGGGCTGTTATGGAGTAATGTTATAGAGGGATGACGTTGAGGCATTTCTAACACGCCCCCTCTGCATATTAAAGGCAGCTGATGAGATCACCTTCCTATAAAAAAAACAAAATAGTAAAACCAAAAAACTTTTGTTTCCTTCCATTTAACTACTGAGCTTGCTCAACTGTGGTTAATAAGGCCTTATAGGAAACAAATTTTGCATAAAAATTCTTTTGGGAGTGTTGGCCAAATGCAGCTTGGAAAACTCTTCTTTTTTGGTGACTAGTTAGTGTTGGCCTCCCAGCAGCCTCCGTCTAGAGGTTCTCCAGATTTTGCTGGTTACTGTGGAAAATCAAACAGTTGTGGTGTTTCTGGGTATTCCAGGTTATGTGTAAGAATGAGGACATAGTTTTCAGTGGGGGCTGTGTAGGAAGAATGCTGTCTCTGCCGGTGTGCCCTCAGCCTTCGTGCTGAAGTGGTTCCCCACCTCGGACCCAGGCTGGCAAATGGAGGCAGGATCTGAACAGGCTTTGGTGAAGGAGAGTGGTGGGAGTTCACTCCTCCATACATGCACCAGAAGATGTTTGCTTTGCTCGTTCAGGAGGCGTGATGGGGGTGACAAAAGTCCCAGGCCTTACGTGTGGGTTGGCAGGAGAGCTTGTGTGGACTTGCAGTGTGGCTGAGGGGATGTGAGCACCACAGGCTTGTGCCAGCAGCTGCAAGAGGTGTTTGGGTTGCTGGAGTGCTGGTTATGTGCTCCATGCAAGGAACTGAGCCAGCACAGCTCCAAGAGTTCACTTTCTCCTGTGTGCCTTGGCCTTGCAGTGCAGCCAGGAAAATGGCACGTGTGGGCAAGGTGACTTGTTTGATTGATGTTGTGTTTTCAGGGCAAATCCTGTCCGTGGCATAAAATACAAGAAGCAATATTGAACTGTCTTAAATCCAGAATGCTGGTTACATTTTGTTTATAAAACATTTGATATAGTTTGGGCCAGTGTGTTTTGTGTGGCCATACACAAATATGAGCTGTAGTGTCTCAATGTATTTGTTGGACATGGTGTTCCCCAAATTCCCTGATCACTGAGGAGAAAGGAGAGCCTCAAGTGGTCTTAGAGTGGTCTGGAATGGCCTAGAGATCACATGTCCTTGGGGAAGTGGCTGCAGAGCAGCATCCTTTCACAAGTTTTGTGCTCAACCAGCAAGCTGAACTCTGCCAGCCTGCAGAGGAGAGAACCTGCACTGCCAGCAAACCTTGGGAAATCTCTTGGTCCTGCTCACCCCAGTACTGGTGCTCCAACCGTGGATGGATTGTTTTCTGCACTGGTGTTGTCACCACCTGGTGCTGGCAAGAGCTCAGGGCTGACTCAGGTGACTGAGTTGGCTACATAGGGATCCATGGGGCATCTCCTGGGGTTGGCCTGGCAGCCCAAAGCCATGTGAACATGGGTTAAGCTGTAATGCAAATAACAACTGGCATCCAAAGCAAGGCTTCCTTAATTTGACCAAATTTTAAGGAGCTTTTTTTTTTTTTTTTTTTTGTATGGAAGGAAGAATTGAATTATAATATGTCTTAAATTTCTCAGGTTCCAAGGGAGAGGAGATCTTCAACAGCTAAGCCTGAGGTAGAACATCCTGAACAAGACCACAGCAAAAGGTATTAATTTTTATTATTGTTTCTCTGTTTCCTCCCTTCTTTCCTCGACCATTAAAGCTGCTGAAGGAAAGTAACTTACTACACTGTGCTGATGTGCTGGAAGAGAGAAACTGTCAGCTTTTGCTCTGTACCTCAGATTCTTGTTGTGCCCCAGGAACAGGCTGGGGATTGAGCCATGGTGTGGAGAGCTGAGGCTCAAACTGCTGCTCAGTGCCATCTATCTGCTTTTGGTGTGCTGATGTCATATACTCAGCCTAGCAGAAGCTGCTCTCTAACATTAGGCACCCTGGTAGCGCAGGCACCCCCAGGCTGCAGTCACTGGTGACACTTTCCATTTTTCATGCAGTTACTTCAGTTGCTCTCTGCTGAATTTTGTTCTCAGGTACCAGCAGCATTGCTGTGTCATGCATGGGCGAGTTGGGAAGCTCTTCAAATTGCTTGTGATTTGGTTTTGTACTGTCTGGGGACTTCCTTTGTATCCTTTAGAATTTCTATCTTGCTTCCCCTACCTGCCTTCCCTCTCTTGTGCTTCCCAAGCAGATTATACTGATTAGGTGAATATAACCAATGGCAAGTTCACTAAACCAGGCTTCCACTCCTTCCATCCTCTTCCTCTGGACAGACTAGAATGCTTTAAGGACCTGAGGTGAGGTTTTGTTGTCAGGCTGAGCTGATTGAGTGACTTGTTGTGAAGAAGAGCAGGCTGGGTTCCCAGCCATGTGTTCCCACTGCTCCTCTTGAACCAGACTGGGTCTCACACTGGTCTATCACCAAACAGGGAAAGAAACGGTGGCTAGTTTTCTGCCAGCCAGGCAAGCAGAACTGGCTTACCAAGGAGGCAGGGGAATGTCTGAATTGGTGTAAAGGAGAGGGCAGGACCACTTGGTGGGGAGGGAGAAAGAGAGGGCAAGCTGACTTAGTGGTTACTAGCTGAGGTCAGCTCAGCCACAGGTCTCAATGTTGTCCTGGCAGAAATGGGTGTGGTGGAGTGGAGAGTGGCAAGTTATGCAAATTCCTCCCAGGAGTCTTGGTGCGGATTTCTTGGGGGGTTGTGAATGAAACGAGGGCTGTAATTTCCCTGTCAGTGCTTCCCGGGTGGTGCACAATCCTGGGGCAGAGGAGCAGCAGCCTTGCTGTCAGTCCTTCTCCCTCTGTCAGAGAGCAGCTTCGTGGAGCCTGTGTGTGCCAGTGCGTGGTGGGAAGTGCTTAGTTTTGGACTGCTGTTTTCCAGGCAGTGAAGATCTGGGCTGTGAACCCTCACCCTCTGCTCCAGGGTAATTACTCTCCAAGGTGGGATGATTACCAGTGTGAGAGGAGTTATGGGGTTTTTTTAAATGAGTTTCTCAGCTTTTCAGGTTAGGATTGAGCTGTTCTGCATAAGCAGGAGTTTGTGTCAGCGGTCCTTGTCCAAAAGGTTGAAAAGCTTTTCTAGCTCTTGCTTAATGAGAATATAAGCTGTATAATTTATGCCTGATTTCTTTTTGCCATTTTAAGGAACAGCATCCCAAACGTGACAGAACAGTCGCTCATTTCTGCTGGAGAAAACAGGGTCCAGGTTCTGAAAAATGTGCCTTTCAATATCGTACTTCCACATACGCCCCAGATGGGCATGGACAAGCGAGGCCACCTCACGACCCCTGACACGACGGTCACGGTTTCGATTGCCACGATGCCCACGCATTCCATCAAAACGGAGACGCAGCCCCACGGCTTTGCCGTGGGCATCCCGCCGAGCGTGTACCACCCCGAGCCGCCCGAGCGCGTGGTGGTCTTCGACAGGAACCTCAATCCCGACCAGTTCAGTTCCAGCACCCAGCCTCAGAACTCCCAGAGGAGAACGCCAGACTCCACCTTCTCGGAGACTTTCAAGGAGGGTGTGCAAGAGGTACCAGGAGAGGCAGCTGCTCTGTGTGTGTGTGTGTGTGTGTCTTGATTTGGATGGAGAGATCCAGTTCTGTCTTTAACTGTTCTTGTTACATGAGCCAGAAATCTGTTCAGTGGCTTAGAAATAGAAGACTTTCCCAGAAAGGTGCATAATTAAAACTTAGTAAATAAAACCTTCACAGCATGAAATAATTATCAAAAGCAAATGACTAATCTGAGTAGTGACAGAGGCTTTGGCTTGCAGAGTGTGGAAATAGTTATCTCTATCCATAGAGCCAGGTTTTGCAAGAGTTCAGCACTCTGTGGTGCCTTTGCAGGTACCAAAGTGAAGTGACTGTATGTAAGCTTCCTTACTGCCAGTTTCTAGGTGTGGTGTGTGTCCATAGAAAATAGTTGGATTACGTAGGGCCCTTTAGTGAGAAAATCTGTGGTTTTTGTTTTATGATACCAACTGAAAATAGCAGTGTAACCATGTTTTGATTTTTAAGCCAAACCTCAAGGAGCTGTGTAGCTATGCCCTTTGAGATTTGGGAAAGCATTAAAATTTTGCCTTAAGCTGACTTGGAATGCTTACGAGATTTTGTGCTTAGCTGACACCCAAAAGTTTTGAATTAAAACACTATTCAAGTGTCCTGTTTGTTGAAACCAAAAATCAGTTGTTATCTGGTGAACAATTTGCCTGACAGAAGTTCCGTGGTAAGGAGTATCTATTTAATATCGACTTTTCTTTTTGCTGCAGTGTTAACTGTTGTTTTGTCTACTCCAGGTTTTCTTTCCTACTGAACTGAATCTCCGAATGGCCAACATGAATTCAGAAGATTATGTTTTTGACAGCATTTCTGGGTAATGATTTAAGGCTCCCATTTGCCTGTATCCTCCTATTCTTAGCTGTCCATGAGCAAGCAGTATAACTCATGCCAATTTGCACCCAGTCACAGCTGGATTTTGAGGGGGCCTGTGGATCTCAAACCCACAGTTAGGTCTGCTTTTTTGAATTTCACCGTTGAAAATTGTAGCTGTAAAGATACAATCGTATCTTTAAAGAAAACAAATACTTCAAGGAAAACTACTAGACTAGAAATACCACCGATCCTCAGTTATGGTCCTTGCACCGAATCTGTGTCCCATGGGAAGGGGCAGTGCTGTCTGGGATTGGTCTGGGAGTTTGCTTCCAGCTGTGCCCCCCTCCCTGGTGTGCTTGTCTTGCTCTGTCTGCTGGAAATCTCCAGCAAAAACAGGAGAAATAAAACTCACCTGAACTCCAGAGGAGGGGAGCAACTTGCTTTATAGTTGCAGTTGACCAAGAGGGCAATGGCCACTGAGTAGCTTATTAGCTTGTGAATTTAATGAACTTGCTAATAGATACTTTCCTGTTGGTTGAGGGCAGCTTACTGCTGTCAGCCTGAATAGGGACCTTCCAGTCCTGCCTGCTTATGTGTCTTAGGATTTAGCTTGCCAAGAACTTCTCTTAAATGTTCATTCATGAAGGAAATGGTTGAAAAAGGGGCTCATCCTGTTTTCCAACTTCTTTGCCTGTTGATGGCTTAATGAGTCAGCTAACAACTTTGGAATTTCTCCAAATTAAATGTGGAACGTTTAATCAGCTTTCCAGGAAAATGCCTTAGCAATCACTACCCTCTTCACTCTATAGGAATAACTTCGAATACACTCTGGAAGCCTCCAAGTCCCTCCGACAGAAGCCTGGGGACAGCACAATGACTTACCTGAATAAAGGTCAATTTTACCCAATCACGCTGAAAGAAGTCAGCAGCACTGAAGGAATCCATCACCCCATCAGTAAAGTCCGAGTGAGTGGCAGAACTTGTGGTTTCTTGGGAAGGAGGGTGTGCACGATGGCAACCTTAAAGTGCAGCAATCTAGAGCAGAGCATCAGCACAAAGGCCAGCTTAGCTGTGCTCTTACGTCAGTGTGGCTTCCTTTGCTGTCCACCTTCTGCCAGGCCAGCCCATCCTGGCTCAGACTGTTAAGAAGTGGTGTCAGCACTTGTGTAAAGGTGATGCAACAGCTGGAATGAGATCCTTGGATTCTAGTTAGGAGAGCAGTTCTGCTCATCTCTGTTTATGACCCAGAAAGTGCTGTTGTCTGCCTTCCTGTTTGGCAGTGGTGTGCCAGGTATACTGTAGTGCCTCAAGTGGAAAACCCTAAAGCTCCAAACCAAATGTACTCTCTGGCCTTTTCTCTATTTCTCTTTCATGTTTTTGTTTGTTTTTTTTTTTAATCTTTTCCTCTCTCCTTTCAGAGTGTCATTATGGTTGTGTTTGCTGAAGACAAAACAAGGGAAGATCAGCTCAGGCACTGGAAATACTGGCATTCAAGACAGCACACAGCCAAACAAAGATGCATTGACATAGGTAAGGAACACTGTCGTTGCTGATGTCAAACTTAAGACCTAATTCCTTGGCAAGGTTCCTTTTTCTGCTAAAGCTTTGTTATTTTAAGGAACTTCTGGATCCCTCTCTCTGCCCTCCATAGCTTTGCTGGAAGACCAGAGAGGGTTTGTGGTTGGAGCTAATGCTGCAGTTTTTAGAACTTACTAAAGAGGCTGGTTTTTTTTGAGGTTTTTGATTGGTGGGGTTTAGGGTTTTGTATTGGGAAATCCAACAGTCCCCTGCAGACATTAGGTTTTCTTAGAATATCCTGGTGCTTGTAGCTAAGTCACAGCTTGTAGTCCCAGTGGCTGTCCTAAATATTGTGTTTCTTCAAAGGACAAGATCCTTGTAGAAATACCTCAAGACTAATGATCCTCCCTCCCACAGCTTTGCTCACAACTCGTCTTTGGTACATGTAAAAAAAGAAAACACTGCAAATTTCCACTTGCCTCCAGACAAGGCTGGGGCTGGCTGTGTTCCAGCCTTCTCTGGCTGAAGACTGGGCTGTACTCCTCGTCCCTTCCTTCTGTGAATCAAAGCAGGGATTAATCACTTGGCACTTAAAGCAGACGCGCATGCAAATCTTTGTTTGTTATTGAAGGAGTTTTATTGAGAGCTTATGTCCTTGCCATACAGGGTAGAGTTTCCCGCATATAGCACAGAACACCTCATATTTGGGATCTGCCTTTGTTCCTGGAGTTTCTAGTTTAGAATTTTTGCAAGTCCCATTTTACTCCTTCCTCCTGTTTGTTGAGGGTTTTTTTGTGTGTGAGAACCATTTCCAGCCTCTTTCAAGATCCATTCCTAAGGTACAGTTCAGCTTCTTTTTGCCCCCAAGGGGCTGCTGAAGAGTTACAGTTTCTGGCTGCTTCATGTGATTAAGGACCCAGGTAATATCTCCTCTTCCTCTCTCTCCTGAATCCTTCTGTCTAACAGCTGACTACAAGGAGAGCTTCAACACCATCAGCAACATTGAGGAGATCGCATACAATGCCATATCCTTCACCTGGGACATCAACGAGGAAGCAAAGGTATGTGACCACGATTGTATTTCCTGTCCTTTTAGCAGATTCAGGGGCTGGGGGAAGGGAAGGGTGTGTGGCCTACCTGGTGATTAGCGTGTAACAAGTTTGTTTACGTTCTTACATTAGGCAAAACCTTTTGGCTATTTCTTAAGAGGGTTTGCATGTGCAACTGGGAGGGCTTTGCAACTGCTTTAGGGTTCTTGGCAGAAGTGCCTGCCTGAGAGACAAGTACTGACAGAAGGAAGCACGGAGCGTTTGCCGAGCAGATGAGGTGGCGCGGGAGGTGCGATGGAGCGTAGCTGGGCTTGGCACCGAGCACAGCCGCCCTGGGGGAGGCAGGGGGCAGCTGCTGGGGAGCTCAGGCTCCAGCCACGGGCTTGCCTTCCACCAAAGAGGGAGCAGCTGTGGCCTCTGAGCTCCCAAAGCATGCGTTGCTTAAACCGCAGATCCCAACACCCAGTGACCTATTTCAAACTAGAACAGCCTCCTGGTGAACTCTGGTTTGATCTTTCCTCAGAACTGTGGGTGCTTTTGTAGGTGTGTAGGTACAGGAAGCTTCCCTAGCTAGTAGCTAACTGCAGCTGTTTGTGCCACTCTGGCTTCTGGAAAAGGCTTGTGTATCTTCTAGGTTCAAGGAAGCAGGTCAAAGCTGGTGGAGCCAGCTCAGTTCTAAAGGCATTTCTCACTGGTTAGTTGCTGGAGTCAAAGTGAAGGAGTTTTCTTTTGAGAATTTCATTACTGCCTGGGTTTTCTTTAAAAGTTTGGAATGGTTTCCATTCATTTTTGGAGACTGGCTGTTTCCTTGGCAGTACTAGTAACTGGTACCAGCAATTGGTACCAGTAGTCACCAGCATCATGGGGAAAAATACTGATGGCTGCAGAGTGCCCTGTCTAGGGAGAGCCTGGCCTGGGGGGATGTGGGAACTCTCCGCAAAGAACACAGCTCCTTCTCTGGAGTTCTCTGTGCTCCTGCTCTGCAGGAGGAGCAAGGGCTGGTGTCACTGCACAGGGCTTGCTGTCACCACAAACTGTGTTCTGTCCTGCACAAGGCCTGTGGAGAAGATGTTGTATGGGGGACTGCTGTTAGGTTTCAGCTCTGTGGGAGAAGTTTGGGATGCTTAGCAGACAGTAGTGAGGAGCTGTGTGTGTGCTGCTGCTGAAAGTGCTGCTTTGCAATGTGTGGGACATTACTTTTGAAGCTGGTGTTGGGTGCCAGGATTCCTTTTTTACCGGATTTGGCTTCAGTTGGGTTGAGGGGGCTGGCAGGGAGGGCCTTATCTGCTGGAGGATGCTAAAAGGCTGACGTGATTTCTAAAACATGAAGCACTTCACTTTGTGAACAAACAGAAGAGCTGTCAAAAGGAGTCAGTAAGTATTATCCTGCTGCCATAGCCAGTCAGACATTTAACTAACCAAGGTAGTCGGTGTCTACGAGGTATGCAAAGGCTTAGGATTTGCACACAGGGGTGGATCATGCAGACAGAACAATGCAAGTCCTCAAGGAGCTGGAAGCACTTTCTGCAGCTGCCTCTCTGCTGGCTGAGCCACTCTGCAGCAGTAGGGATGGGCCATTAACTCAGGAGCAGGGCTCACAGCTGGTGCTGAGAGCTTTGTGGCTGCCCCAAGGAAAGTCATCCCTTCCTACCAGGTAGCTATTGCTGAGTTACTGTACAGACCCCTGAATGAATCGTTTCAGTCTTTAATGAAATTGCCAATAGTGTCTTGAAAAGATCTAAGGACCCTCATGGTGATATTTCACCTGGGGACTGAACTTCATGGGTTGAAGTGGTGAGGGGAGCTGTGAGACAGACTGGTTTTTAGCTACAGAGGCAAATTTGCCTCCATGTTCACAGTCTTAGTGTGTGAGATCCATATACTGTGAGTCCTGGTTTATATGAACTTCCAGAATGTGCAAGCCTTGACTCTTGGGATCAGAATCATATTAAGACAAAAATACCCTTGACTTCAGTATTTAAAGAATTGACATTTTTAGCAAGGGCTCCATGTTCTTAAGTGTCTGTTTAACTTCATTTTTTCCTCTGAGTGGATGTGTTTTATCAGTGACTGAATTTCTCACCAGAAGAGCTGCAGTTCTTTCTCTACTTCTGTGATCTTATCAGGAGATGTCTGAGCCAATTTCAACAATTTTTATTGCATGGTTCATTTACCTTGTATGCTCTTGCTCTCTCTTTTCCTTTCCGTCCCTGCCCCACAACCCCTGACAGCAGTCTTAAAGTATATGAAGAAAGCAGGGAATAGATAGAGCTGAGTTTCTGATGTTACAGAAATTCCTTCACAGTAATAAATACAGTGTTTATATTTAATAACAGCAGAAGTGCTGCATAGACAGTATGTTTAACCAGCCAGCAAGCCTTGATCATTAGAAATTTGCTTCCTGAGCCCTGGAGTTACCTGGACCAGAGCCAGGTGATTCTTCTGGGCTTGCTGCTTCTCCCGTTTCCCTCTTGCTTTTGCTTCCAGTTTGCTGTGGAAATGATTTGATCCTGTGCAGCCGTGTCAAATGGGAGGTCACGAGGCTCTGTGTCTGGGCTTTCTGATGTAGTTACTCATTTGGACACACAGGGTGTGTGTCAGATTTAAGGCAGAAATAGCAAATTATCACAAGGAGTTGCCCATAGCAGCTCTGGGACCATGTACTTACCTTCTTGTGGGGGTGTACAGGAATATTGCACCTCTGCCACTGTGTCTGTTCAGGAGGGTGTCGCCTGCCTGAGAGTGCTTTGCCAGTGCCCTTGGGGCACTAAGGGGGTTTGGTAAACTGCACCCTTCTGGTGAAGAAATGCTCTTTTCATACAGTACAAGTCGTGTGCTCCTTCATAGCAAGGAAAATTCTGTGGATTTGTGGGATGGAAAAAGGATGTTTGGGATGCCCTCAGTAACAAGTATTTCCCAGTTGCGTTGTGCTGGGAAAGCTGAGAGCAAGGCCCAGGCTCTGGTCACTGAACACATTGGACAGGCCTGGCTCAGCACAGCTGGAGTTGTCCCACAGCTGCTGCATTGCTGTGCTGTTCGTGAGCCCTTGGGTGTGGAAGCCAGGGGTATTTCATGCATGACAGACACTTCCCACTCTGGGACCATACCGTGTCCATGGATTTCAGAGCAAATGTGCTTCTCTCTGGCAGCTCCTCTCTGCCCTCTTCTGTTGTTTTGGGACATCACAGGAGCTGCTGGAAGCAGCCACTTCACAGCAGAGGCTGGTTTAAGTATTCTCTGACCTTTGCTAGAGTGTGTTCAAGCTGGAAAAGGGCCCAGGATCCAAAGCCTCCTTGCTCTGAGGCAGTGAAGGGAACAAGGGGTGGGGAGGAAGGCCAGACTTTGAAAGAGGCAACCTGCCCTGAAGTGGTACTGTTGAGATTTGAAGGAGAGTGAGATGAGGATTAGAAAGATTGTCAGGAGACACTGTAGAGTGGGGAAGCACTGATTCAGGTGGGCTTTCAGATGTCTGTATTAGATATGAGGTCTGATCCCATCACCTGACAGAACAGGAAAGGGAATAGTTGAATGGGGAGACAATCATGCTTTGTGAGCAGAAAAGGGAAGAGGGTGGACTAGAAAATTAGTTGAAGTGGTGGGTTGTTGAATGGGGCATTTAAGAAAGCCAGTGTAGCTACTCAATCAGGAGCCATCCTGCTTGAGTTGGAAGCGTGATCCGATGAGTCTGGTGAGATGTGTAGCTGATACTCACTTGCATGCAGCAGGTAATGCTGGAGTTACCCTGAGGCTTGTGGAGACTTCAAACAGTTTCCCACCCCATGATGGATGTCTGCCGTGGGCAGACAGTCAAGGTGGGGTTCTTCTCCTGCAAAGAAGCTTTCAGATGTCTGAACACAAGCTCGTCATCTTTTGTGTCTATGACTTCATTAGGGACAGGGTGTCTAGAGCTGGGATGCAGCTTTCTCCAGAGGTATCTGCCCCTTCTTGTTGACTGAGCAGGCTTGGCTATATTTGAAATGTGGGGATGTTAGAAGTAGGGAATAGGAATCCTTGCATCCCTTTTTGTGTCTTTGTCCCCCATGTCAGTCAGAAAAAATGGTTGTAGTTTCAGGTCATGAGTTTTTGAGGCTGGGATCCATCTCTTTCCAAGTTCATGCCAGGCTCTCTTTTCCTTGGTTGGAAGCCAATAAAGGTCTTTTAATGAAGATTGCCACTATGTGTGCAGTTAAATGCACATTTCATACTGCTCTTCCTAATGTTGGCTGTTGTCCTGTTATCTCTGCTATGTTACCCGTTAGGCTGCGAAGCAAATTCTGTCCCTTAACTCTGGCCTGGGGACATTGCCTGCTCTCAGGTCAGTGGCAGTTGAACAATCTGGACAGATTGGTTTCACCAGGGTTAACTGGCTTTGCTGGATCCTGCTTTGCTCAAATCCTGTCTGAGCTCTTGCCCTGTGGAGCAGGAGGGTTGGGGCCTCTTGTCTGAACAGGGTGAGTTGTTGTCTGCGCAGTGACTGCAAGAGCTTCCCTGGCTGTTTCTGTAGCTCTGACAGGGCAGGATCCAGCCCTTGTGCTGGGCCACCCCTTCTGGCTTCCCAAGGGGCCCCTTCTGAAAAGCAGCATTGCTTCCAGTAGCTCCCAGAGAAGGGCCCCTGTGGAGGTCTTTGGTCTGGCTTGCTATAGGCTGGGTAATGGGACTGTAGCCAAAAATGATGTCACTGCACATTAAGGGTTCTATTGTCCTCCTATTCTTTCCCTCCCAAAAAAATAAAAAGGCATTATAAGCCAGATGCTGTGTTGAAAAGACTCTTTCTACTAAAAGGGAATACATGGAGAGAGTGTAACAGGCATTTTGAGCTCAAGAATATCATGACAGAGCTTTTTGCTGCCTTTTCACCAAAGAGAAGATGCTGTAGTGTCTCTTAATTGATGCCCTGAATGACAGAGCAACTAAACAGTACTTTTTTATTACTTTTTTTTTTTGTCCAAGAAGAGTAGAATGGTCCTAATATTATGGTAATTTGCATCTAATTTGGGATAGCCTTTTGAAAT